CCCTTGGCTCAGTACACTAATTCTCATCCACTAGAACCTGTCCCTCTACGCCAAATCACACCCTTGTGCTCTCTTTCTTGTCTCTCCCTTGTTTGTCATTTCGTTTGAGTTCCCAGTGTTCTCTACAGTGTCAACGCGTTAGTGCTTTTCTTTTAAAATCAGCCTCCCAAGTAATTTCACTAGACACTACGATCAAATTTGAATATATACTTCAGGAAAGTTTTCTCTCTTCACTGAAACAGTAGTGTTATCTTTGCAGGTGATGAAATGAGCCTTCAACAGTATAACGTATATAGCAACACACGCGCACGCGCACGTTATAACATATATGATATACCAGTAACAAAATGGAAGTCTTGAACAACATTCTAGAAGCAAGTAAATCATGTTTGTTCATATTCTCGTATAAAAAAACTGAAAAGTACTGGAAAGGTCTATCTCAGCATCCACGTGCTTTGAGATTTGGACGCTAGGTTTGCGTAAGACAGCCGTAAATCAAGTTGCAACTTGCAACTTGCGACCACCATTTTGGATTTTGCATTATCATTTGATACGTTGGTTTAATGTTGCTGTGTTGCATGTATACGAGTTACGTGTGTGATGCCCTGACTCGCTTAAATAATTATTATATATCAGCATGAGTTTATATAATTCTGTTATGGATTAAACTGGAATATCGTCTAACATAGACGCCAAAATACATTCATTTTTTTAAAAGGACTTGTCGAGTTAAACCTCCTTATGTATACAAAGCAAAAACCTACCTGTTGTGCGTGTGGGAAGATGTGTGCGTTTGAGAGAGTTGCGAAGTAATCAAACTTAATTAAGAAGAAGGAGAAGCAATGTGAGTGAGTGGTTGAATTGAAAGTGATAAGAGGGGTGTGGGTGTGTGGGGTGCAGGGAAATCACTTGCTTTCTCTCTCTATTCTTTCTTGTCTCCCCTTAGTTACTGTGCCCACATGCTCTCCACATGTCTTCCCATGTCACCAATTTTTTTCTTTTTAGTTTTAATTCGAACAGACTATCCTACCCAGCTATATCTCTTTCATAATCTCCTTCTTGTATAGCTTGATTTTTCTTGTTGCAACCTATATAAACCTTTTTCACATATACATGAAATAGCACCATTAGTATAGTTAGAGCTGTTGGCTTCTGCTAAGATCTTCACTTTTCGTCCTTAATTAACAATCTTGAATCAATATATCTCGATACTGCATGTATAATAATTCATAATTTTTGTAATTAGTTGTTATTTTCCAAACTCGATCTCTATGTAATATGTGAGAAAATATATGGTTAAAAGGACATTTTAAAAGCTTAAATTATTTTCATTGTCTAGCCTAAACTAGTGGTGTAATGTTACCAAAAAAATGCCTGTTGTGTCCAGGACGTACCTAGGCTAGAAAAAATTGCCCTCATAGGGCTAGAGAAAATTACATATAATAATTCTAAATATTTCAATTGCTCCCCTCACAAATTTCAATTGCCCCCTCACGGCCTCACCTAAACAAAAAGATTCAGTTTTCCTCTCAAAAGAGCTCATTTATCTCCTTAAAAAATTTATTTAACTCAAATATTATGTATCTGTTATAAACTCGAATTAATGGAGGGGGTAATATTTAAACAATAAATATTTAAATTTTAAGTATTTAAAAAAATAATTAGTATTTATCTTGGGAGATTTTTTTTATCCTCACTACCTAATTTTTCTAGGTCCCTCAATGTTTATGTCAAAAATCGATATGGATGTATTCAATAAAAGAAGAGAACATGCATGTGCACATGCGTGGTCCAATATTATTGTTTTAGATCAGTTCAAAGTATAGCAGCCATGGATCTTTAAATGTAAGTCTGAACTTGAAGTTATAGCTTCTCTATTTTCCAAGTTTTATGCTGCATCAGTCTCATTAATGCATTTTTGGTCAAACACAACGTCTCTACTAAGATGCCGTTCACTTTATTTATTCAACAATTTGATGCTTCCTCTTCCCCATTATTTATTACTATTATTATTATTATTATTATTATTATTAATTATTATTACATGTATTGCATACCCGCTGATTCTGAATGCATTTAAAAATACTTAATCATATCATTTGTATAGATATATTCAGACTGAGTATACTAATATGAATGATGGGGCCTTGAGCAGTAGTATTAAATATTAATAGTAATGATCGATCTGAATTATCTGAGCAGCAGGAAGAAAAAGAAAAGAAAATATGTCGGCATGCATGTGGGTTTTCCATGCCATGTCATTAATTTCTCGTTAAGTGTTCTGTCTCAAAAACTGTCGCCATATAGGCATGTACTCCATATGTTCCTTAGCCCCACCATTTATCTGTTCACACCCTTCTGATCATCTCTTCGTCCACCTCATAATTAACATGAAAAATGAAATTTTCAATATTATTGTTATAAAATAAAATCAAATACTATGGCTCACTGTGTTTTTCACCTTGCCTGGCAGTACATTTTATTTGTTTACATTATTTCAATCCTGCAACGTAACTCACTTTGTCTTGGCTTCCTTCACTGAACGGCCAGTTTATTTATTGTGTTTGGTATTATATTAGGTAAAGTTAGCATTATAATTATTGATTTTCTTCTTTATTATTCTTTGAAACTTTACATTGTCATCTTTTCAAGTCTCTCCTAGGTCACAGAATGAGAAGGCAACTTCATCGTGAGGACCACAACGAAGAAAATGTTGATTTAATTCATTTGGATATCATTCACATATAAATCCTATTTGATTATTTTGTTGTCGAAACCTTTGTATTCTGAACAGTCCACGTAAAGACATACTACTATGATTGCATTTTTCTTTTGGAGAGGATCATAAATAATTAATTACCACGAGAACAAAATTATATTGCTTTCTAGATATGCATTTCCATAAAACAAGGTTAGTTAAAACAAATATATGCTTTTTGTTGGCGTACTGTAAAGCTGTGGTCGCCCCCAGAATTAGTTGTCTGCAAGAGAGAGAGAGAGAGAGAGAGAGAGAGAGAGAGAGAGCAAAAACAAAGCTTGATCAATAAAATTAGTCCAAAAAAAAAAACGTGCAGAGGGTGCATATCAGCTTATAAAATCACGCTATACATATATTATATAATAAGAAAGGAAACATTATCTTAGTGATTAAACATAGAAGTCTCATGCTGTAAGCGAAAACGTATCAACCTGTACTGCATAATAGGCCAATATATATTTATAGTTTTTATCCCTTTCATTCTAATTATGCAGTATGTAGTTTTTATTAAACTATGGACTGGTTTTATCTTAATACTATGTGTTTGTTGCAGTAATTTTTCGTGTTCCTTATATATATTGACAATAAATATATAATTAAGATGTGTTGATTAAAACCTAGAACTGGAATCAATATAGGAAGTAAATGTTGATCATCTAGTTCACAAGTAGTACTTCACATCTAGTACTTCCTACCTGTGAAGTGATCGCCTCTACTTGCAGGATTGAATTTCTGTGACAACTTGCTGCGTGACTAACCCCATATGTATATACGCACCATCTCCGTTTAGCATTATAAGATTTTTTTTTTAAATCACGTTAAAAATATAAGGTGTAATTAATTAATAAGCCTTTAAAAAAAACAAAAGTCCAGATGTAATTTATGAGATTTTTTAAGGAAGAAAGAATTGCACTTTAAGGCCCAATATATTATGAAATTATTCTGCAAGTCGAATGACCCTTTTGCAAATAACTTTTAGAAAAAAAAGACACAATTGTCCTTAGTTAAAAAAAAAAGATTTTAGATTTACCATCAATGGATAATTACATGTTATGTGTAAACTTAGAATTGATAATTTGTGAATATTTAGTTGTAAAAAATTAAACTTACTGCTATAATGAAAGTATTTCATTATCAATGAACAATTATTTATTAATATATAAATCTAAAATTGTAAATTGATGAATATGTAGTTGTAAAAATCTAAACTTTGTTATCAGATGAAACTTAATTTTGAATATATAGAATCATAAATTTTAAATCTTGACTTATAAATAGATAAATATATACATGTAAATATTCAAACTTTAAGTTATAAATTTACTTGAGGTGCTAAACGAGATTCTCCTTTTTTTAAATTGAGACACTTTATTGGATGATAGTAAACATGAAAAGAATTTATAAACAAAGTCCTATGCTTTCCTCTGATTTTCCTCCTCTGCGCTCCTATCATTACAGTTTTGTTTTTTGTTTTGTGTTTTTTTTCCCCCAAACTTACTTGCCCATGTGAGCATGGGAGAGAGACTTGGAGGGAAATACTAGGAAGAAAATTCAATCATTATAAATTAATTAAAAATATTTTATAATTTTAAAATTATCAAGTACTCCTTCCCATCTGCATTATAAAGCACATTTAAATATCTCATCAAAATTTTTTAAAAAAAAAGCTAAGTCATCAATTTTGTTTGGATATAAAATAAATTTTGAATTTTATTCATGTTTAAATAAAAAATATTAAATTTGTATTATATTTTTATCGCAGTTAATGAGTTTAAATAGGAATAATATTGATAAAATGTAATTAATATCTTATTAAATATATTATATTAAAGACCAACAAAATAATTTAGAAAACACCCTGCACAAATAGACACTGCCAGGCAAAGGAATCGGACGAAACTCATTGAAAGAGGAGGGGCCATATAATAATCAAGCGAACAAAAAAAAAAAAAATCGGAGAGATCTCCAACTACCACCGCACATTCATTTAATTGGTTGACTTTCTGTTACAGTTTCGATATAAATAATCACATTCATAATGCAGCTGGAAAATAAAATGCAAGGAGATATAAATTAATTAAAGTATATTCACATGAAAAATCCCAACGCTTCATCAGACGCTTCGGTTGCGATGTTAAGATGCCGATTAAAATATTTGCATGAATATTAAAAATTTAAAACTAACGCTTTACTAGTTTGAGTTTTTGTGATTGCGTTTACTATATAAACCGATGCCGTTGGTGCGGCCCTCGCAGAAAGGCATTGCTCTGTGTTTCTGTGTAAACCATTTCTTCCTTTTCTTTCCTCTTTGGTCTTCTATTGATTCTTGATTCAGGGGTTCGTGTTACTTTTGCTATTTGGTGAGAAGGAACAGAAAAAAAGCCATTTAAAACTGTAACAACCATACTTAGAACCTCCACTTGGTCAATCTTTTAATCCATAACGCTAACCTTGGCCACAATATAATCTTTCCTTTCTTCTCTGTCTCTCTCTCTCTCTTTCTCATCTTGGTTGTGCTTCAGAAACTTGTTTCATTTTATCTCAGCGTTATGAAGGCTTAAGCTGGGTGACACTCTCCATTTTGTTCTGATATTCCTCTGTTTTAAGATTCTTTGGGCTGCAACTAGAAATTAGAACCTGCCATGTCGTCTGTACAAGTGTCAGCACGAACGGGACGACTTCGACAACGTTACAAAGACAATTTGCGCCTTGTCTCTGGGTAAGTCTTTCTTCAAACCAGACCTTCTTGACCTCATCATTATTTTCGTTCTTGACATGCATTATAATCCTTGGGCAGTTAGTCAGTTTAAATTTCAGATTCTAAGATACTCCCTATAGATGAAGAAGAAGAAGAAGAACCACCTTTAACGACATATAACTAAGGGTTCTAATTTATCTCTTCGTTTCATCCTTCCCATCTCTCTTCACTTGTCTAGTGTCATCCATACAATAAAAAAATATATATATTAAATTCGTATTCAGGAGTGGTTATCCGACTTGTTTTGAAAAATCGAGAAGGGCATCTCTATCAGTTTATGTATAATATAATTATCTTCTCTGCCCAGTGTTAGTATATTTCGCTGTAGTTTTCCAGGCTTGTCCCTTGCAATCATATTGCGGCAGTGGGGCCATATTATCATTGACTTAACACATTAAATTAAAGTCTTTATATTACGTGTTCTGTTTTGGCTTGCATCATTATTATAAAAATATGCAGTCTTGTTTATGAATAACATCATTGTAGCACAGTATACGGGGGGTAAGTAGGATCCACTTATCAAAGACGTTGATGATTGCTTTCAGCCTGCTATGATTAGCAGGTCTGAAAATTTTGGTGCTCTGTTTACATCCCCAAGTGGATCATACCCCCCCCCCCAGCCACAAAGATTTGTCCATGGAAAGTCATGTGTAACATTTGAGGTATACAATAATGGAAAGGACGAAGAGAGAGTAAGAAGAAAAAATAGTCTACAGTAATTGATGATGGGGTAACAACTTAAGTTGCAAGGAACTGCCAAAATGGGTAGTCTCTGTTTGAGATTTCCATAAGCAAGTACAGAAAATAACTAAAGCTGAATATTCATAAGCAGCTCACATCAAATTCATTTTTTTAAGCAAGCAAATCTTTCACTGCAGTTATAGCTAGCATCTAGATAGTTTTGAATTCCTATCAAGCATCTATAGTTTGCATGATGTGATACTAGCGATCAATGGTTCAATCGAAATTGCTTATCTGTGTGTTCCATACAATCAGATGTATCCCGTACAGATGGAAAAAGAACAACCATCAGAAGGGAGATCTGGAGGACATAATAGAAGTTCTTATGGTTTCTTCACCCAAACGTGACGACCTTGTATTCCCAAAGGTAATTGATCTCGTCCACGCCATTTTCCTTCACTACCATGCGGAGTTTTCCTTTATAAGCTAAGCTTCACTTTGTTGTGTTTTCAGGGGGGCTGGGAGGATGATGAGACTGTTACTGAAGCTGCTTGCCGTGAAGTTTTTGAAGAAGCTGGAGTCAAAGGGATACTAAGAGTAGGTTCAATTCACCACTTAATGAATGTAACTCAAGTTTTCAGTTCATCGTGCAGTGCTTAAGCATTAAAATGACATAAATGCGGACCAATTCTAAAATACATAAGAGGCACAAGAATTCTAAATTTTGTCGGCATTACTTCGTTTATGGAATGATAACTACGAACGAATTCAAATATTTAGGACGGAGATGCCACAAATCTCCCCTCACTGCATGCACCGGTTTGCGAACTTTCTAGTTTTACCTGTGGTAATCAAATCTTCTGAGGTAAATAATACAGTAACCCTTGGGATACGGAGCAAACTTTTTTTAGGCATGACATGTCGATTCAAATCCCCTTAATTTTTGCCTCTCTAAGGTTCCATGGATTTAAGTTTTTTTTCCCTTTTAATTAAACCCGTCCTTCATCATCACCTCATCTCATACGACTTTAACTTCACAAAGAGGCAAATTCAGAGGATCCCAACATGTTCAGATGGTGTCGTGTTAAATTTTTGAAATGATCATCAAGTAAAAGGCTGATTTACTCTTCCTTGCTCAGGAAACTTCCTTAGGAATGTGGGAGTTTAGAAGCAAAAGCAGCCAGGACTTATGCTGCCTGGAAGGAGGCTGCAGAGGATACATGTTTGCCTTGGAGGTGACTGAAGAACTTGAGACCTGGCCAGAGCAGAAAAACCGTACTCGTCAGTGGGTAAGTCTGCTGAATAAATCGCACATCAATTTGGTTGACTTTCTAATGATATACTTACATATATAGAAGTTTTTACATTTTGACGGTGAGTTTTTCAAGCACATGCATATGATGGAGGGTTGCTTCCGTAAAAAAAAAAAAAAAAAAAAAATCTTTGACTAACTTTAGCGCATATTTGATTTCGTAGTTGAACATAAGGGATGCATTCAGACTCTGCCGATATGACTGGATGTGTAGGGCACTGGAGGAGTTTTTGAGAGTAATGGCAGTGGAGAGAAGTCTTAAGAAGCAAGATGCTCCAGTTGATCCTCCTTCAAATTCGATAGCAGATGTCTCAGAAGGTCAAATTCTGTCATCTAACTGTTATAAAATACCCTCTACTACTCAACACCATAGCATGTCTTCAAAACCCACTCTCCTAGCACTTGCTTCTCAAGGGATAGCCGTTCAGTTTGGTTTTTGACATATTCTGCACCCTTGTGCACTAGGTTTCTGTAATGAATCATTTATGTCCAGTAAGTCCTTCCAATTTGAAAGAGAACAAACTGTAAAGTAACGATTTGGGTAAACTATTTGGCTGTGGACTTTAATGTAGCTTCTTTTGCTTTCTTTATTTGCGATCATGTAAAATATTGTGGTAGCAATCTCCAGCGATCATTCTTCATAGGCTGGTGAGTTTTCTGCCTCCCTCGACCATTCATTATGAAGCCTGTAAAGTAGCATTATTTGAGAGATCCAGGTCTTGTAACAAATAGCACAGACAAACTTCTATACAGAGTCTTCCAAGGTGAAGCTCCAATCACTTCATGCTCGGCAGCAGTGAAGGAGCCATTCTACGAGGTTAATTGTTTCCAGACAGCAATTCCTATAAACCTTCCATGTCCGTCTCTAATTCATCAGAATTACATTTGACTTCCAATTATTCCATCAAGACGAGACTAGGTATCAGCTGGAATACATTGAACTACATAAAGCAAGCAAGCTGTCAAAGGATTTCAATGAACAAATTTATCCAGGCACCCCATAGTTAGGCAAATCGATGAGTCAAGCAGATAAATTTTCTCTCTCAAGATAATATAATATGAATTTGTGATCAATTATTATGATGTGATGTTTACTAACAATGATAAAGAAAACAGATAGATACTGCAGATTTCTCACCCATAAACTAAATTAGCATTTTACAATATTAGTTAATTGATAAAGGACGGTTCCCTCTTTTCTGTGAATTATCAAATGCAAGTTGCACACAACGGTCGATGTCATTAGACATGGGATCACTATCTTTCAGACAAAAAAGGAAAAAAAAAAAGAAAAATAATATAACTTTAATTTCTTACATTTTGTTCGGATTTAGTGTTGATTCTTAATTTTTTTTACATTTTAAATTTTTATATTTTTATTTTTTAAAATTTTAAGTCCACCCTTAAATAAAGTGTAAAAACTTTTGAGAAATTTAAGAATTTAAAATATTAAAAAAATATATAAAAATTAATAATAAAATGTGTATAAAGTAAAAGAATCTAATTTTTTCACAAAAAGGTGTAGGCCCAGCAGAATTATTAAAGGTTCGAAATTTTCGTAGGAGTCACATTTTCCCATAACACCTGGACACAGCGACTAGTGAGAGCCATGCTCCTTCTTGTAGTTGTAGATGTAGGCGGGTCCCTATTCCTAAAATTCAAAGTGTTCCTTCACACTTGAATGTTCATCAAAAACAAGTTTTATACATTATTTTGATTTTTCAGATGGCTTCTTTTTCCTCCTCAAACACAATGGAACTATAGAACGTTGCATTGCCCACTAGTGCAGCACATGGGAAAGAAAGGCAAAACCTCGAGCTTAGTAGGCTCATGTTTTAAGAGGATGTTCCCAGAAAATGAAAGATGCCCTCTTATAGTAGTAACTAGAGGACAAAAAGAATGAATAGGATTGGGATTGCCCACTGCGTTTTATTTACTTTATCTTAATTTGTAAGGAAGAATAAACTCCTCGATACTAACATTTGAATTTCTGGTCCATGCTTGCTTGGTTTGTTAGGTGCTATGTCTGACTTTATTTACATTTTCCTAGGAACATTTTCTGTTTGTAAGCTTACATATTTCTAATTGCATTTTGAGTCAAGATTGTATTCACTATTTTATCAGTGTTATATCCTAATTGGTTTGCAAACCACACGGGGAGGATGTTGCGTTTTTGTATTTCAGAATTCAGAACCATCCAATGGGAATGAATTAAGAATTTCGTCACACGTCTTAAGAAGATCGTAATGATCTTTTCCTTCATGCTCAGACTTGAAATATAATAATAATATGAAATTCTAACAGTTTTTATAAAATTGGCAACATATACTTCACTAACGATGCTTATATATAAACATTAGCCAAGTAATACATTAAGCTTAAATTTAAACGTAAGAGTTAATATAAAATTCTATATTTTAATATCTTTAGTTTGAACTTTGATCATATGCAACAGCCGGTTACAACTTAAATATTGTTTATGCAAATATCATAAAGCATCATTGACTATAACTTGCTTATTTTGCGGATGTGGGGTTAATATGCTTTTGGACAGGCATGACTAAATGCCATTGAAGTAGACAGAGTCCATTATCAACCAGGAACCTAAAATAATGAACAGTATCAAAGCCAAATATTCCAAATCCCAATGGAACTTTGCAAATTGGGTCGGCAAAAAGGAGCATGGATTAACATATTCCTCCTCTTACAGATTTTTCAAGGTTCCTTGACCCATCTATATATTTCATCATTTATCTTAGCCATTTGGAAAACCCCTTTGATTCCCTTTATGCAGTTTCACACATAAGGATTGGCAGGCAAAAGAAAAGAAAAGAAACTGATTACCAGAAACCATTAGTCCATGCGTCATCATTCCAGGCCGGACTACTTAAGTAAAATAGTTTCATTGTCACACAGATATCTTAGATGTCATGAAACCTAAAATCACTAAGAATATTCAGGATGATTTTGTACTGTTCAATCTTTCTGACGGCCAGGGTTTTCCCTATATCTTTATGTGGTTCATCCACGCTATAATTAAGAATGGGACATTTGGTCAAAGTTCAACCACCAGGTTTTGCAACTAGTTGTCTCTAATTAAGAAATGCCTACTCATTGTTTTTCTCAATAAAGTTATGCCTATGTGTCTTTCTTCTCACATGCTCCCCAACATGGCTTCGCTCCATTTCGTTTCTATTGTATTCCCTAACGACTAACGTAATGGAATACGAAGCATACATGCTAGCTAGCTCCAAACTTGGCAAAATTATCAAATAAAAAACTTGCAATAATTTATATCACCTCTTAAAAGTGAGCTTTGGTTTTTGACAAAAAGAAGGGGAAGAGTGGAAGACTGTGGAACATGTCATTGATTTGATGGCTCGAATTGGCTGCACATGGGTGCGTAATGATATTCCCCAAGTAACCCATTATTAAAAGGAAAAATTTATATAAGTGAGACAATAATTTATTAGAATACCAATCTTGCAATCTTTACTCGAACTCTCACCTTCCCAACAATTTAATAAACATTTCGTAGCCCCTAATTAATCCCTCAAATACCACTAGAACTTCCTTACCCATCTCTAAATTTTTAAAAAGACAAAAGCAGACTTCGAGAGTGAAACAGGTTGATGTATTGAATTGTAACCCATGACAACACATAAACAAGAAAATAAATAACCCAACACTTACAGCTGCAATTCATACGTGACAAATTGCATTCAAGAGGTTGAATATATATTTTTTAGAAGGTAAAACTTATATACTTATTCTCATATACTTAATATACTTATATTCAATTAAATTATGATAAGTGAATTTTAATATATTAATTAAATTAATAACAAGAATTTATTATAAAATAAATAATATATAAAAATCCTTGTATTTTAATTTGATTGAAATAAGTACATTGAGTATATGTAAGCCTAGATATATAAAATTTCTCCTTTTTCATATTGGTACAATCATTGCACCAAACTGACAATCGTTATTCCAATAATAAGGTTCATTACATTTCGGTTGAATGATCATCAGTTACTTCTCAAAATTTTTAACCGCAGGTCCATGTATATAAAAACCACAAACATTTAAGATATTTATATAGATACTTAAATGCTATTTCACTAACATTGCAAATTAAAATTTGGTTAAAGAAAAAAAATGTTATTGTTATTTTCGCCTAAACAGGTAAGAACGTGTAGAGTACGTAAAAAGATATTAGTTCAATAATTTATAAAGTAGAGAAAAATTGTAACACTACCAACAAAGAATCTCGATCGGCAGGAGGAGCATGCTAATGCATAAGCATGCAGCTAAACCATGAATAGCCTGGTCATAGCATCCTCATAATTACTAATGATAATTCCAAGTAGTTTATCCTGGAAAGATCTTACCTTGTATGTGCAATGAATGGGCCCTTGTAATCATCAAAATAGAGCATGGAGCTTCTCCCACCTGCAATGATCATTAGAATGTGCAACTGAGCTTCTTACGAACCTCAAACCCTTTTCTTTTCCCCTTTGGCTAATCAAATAAATGAGCGAGGCCTTCAGATATAATTAATGATTCTAAATCTTGTTAGATTGAGTGTGGAGGGGACATAATTGGCTCCTCGTTCATGTACAGTCCCATGATTTGATAGAAAGGTCCCATGCAGCAAACATGGACCATAGGCAGTATTCCATGGCAGAAAGAACATTTTAAATAGTCTTTCGTAATTCAAAACAAATGCTATTTTCTAACTATGCCATTGATTGAAGAATAATGATGAAATGGGGTATCGAGGGGAACATGCTATATCGTCCATTTAAAATTCTAATTATGCCACCGACTAATAACTTTCTTTTCTCCTCCCTCCAAATTTAATGATATATATATATACACATGTAGGTATGTATTTTATATTACTTCTACCTATCCCATCATTTGAAACTCATTTCTTTCCTTAAAAAGTGATGATGGATCCTGTTGTCCTGCCCCCCTCTTTTTTTAGATCAATGACTTTCGTTTGCGATAGATAAGATTGTTCAATTATGATATGACTTGGAGAAGAAGCTTTTATATATATATATATATATATATATTGTGCATGGCACTAATTCGTAGAACAAGGACAAAGATGGAAATAAGAGAATGTTGGGTGTTATAGAGAGTTTTGGTGATCAAGCTCTCTCTTATTTAAACCGGAGACTCACATGCTGACTCCCACGACAAAACAGCAAAACGCCAATAAAAGAGGAGTCCTTGCATGCTATCAACCCAGTCTCCCCTCTCTTCTCATTTTTCTCTTCGTCACGAATATACTATCATTTACTCGTAGACTTGGGTCTTTCCCTTGATTCTTCTCCCAGTTCTAGCAACCATCTTTCCATTTCCTGTCTCTCAAGCATTTTACCGAGCACTTAATGAACCCATCAACTTCGTCGTCGCCTTCCAAGGCCAAAAGGAAGCAAATGGCGACAACAAGCGCTAAGACACCAGAGCAACAACATGGAACGGGGTGGGGAGGAAGGTACCTGGGTGTCCGGAGAAGGCCGTGGGGAAGATACGCGGCAGAGATTAGAGACCCTTCGACCAAAGAAAGGCACTGGCTTGGCACCTTCGACACTGCTGAGGAAGCTGCCTTGGCCTACGACAGAGCAGCGCGCTCCATGCGCGGCTCTCGCGCTCGAACCAATTTCGTCTACTCAGATACTCCGCCTGGCTCTTCCGTAACCCCCATTGTCTCTCCTGATGAAGAAGCCCACCAGAACCACGACTTCTCTTCTCTTTTCGCTTCGAACTTGCTCTCTCAGCAGCCCAACCCGACTGATCGGCCGACGGAATGCGCTCTCTCGGGCGGGCTCTTGGGGATTGAGGACAGTGATGCCTGGGCAGTTTCTTCGGAGATTTATTCCCAGCAATATCAATCACCCCCGATGGACGTGCATAATGTGCCCCACTTCCGCCAGTTGTATGATGATAACAGCACCGAGCTCCCTCCATTGCCACCGGATATTACAACCTCCATAGGTTACGAAATGGGCCATGAGTTTTACGATAATGGCTTCGGATACTCAGAGCAAGGCACGGGAACGGGATTCGAACCATCAACCAGCTGGCCTTCGTGCTCATATATGGGCTTGGATTCGGGTGATTACATGCATAGCCCACTGTTGAGCACAGTGCCAACGGTGTCAGAAAAGATGCCGGAGGGTTTTGATTTGGGAAGTTCCTCGTATTTCTTCTGAGAAATGATTCAACAATTTGCTGATTCCGTGGATGGTCACTGGGTCCGTGCCTCTAGTAGTTTAAACTTTCAAGTCTGCAAATGAGTTCGGTGTGTAAGTGGGCTTTATTTGCCCAGAAGTAATGGGCCAACCCTATGGCCCATCCTCTTCTAATTTGGTTTTCCGTCCACAATAAAGATCCACCCAGACAAACCGTTTTACCCGGTGGGAGAGGAATATGCTTCATGCTTCCTCCAGTTTTATTTATAATTCCATCACCCTTTTTTTTATTTCTCATTTAAAGTTATTTTAAGAAAGTGTGTCATCAAAGTATATATGTTTAATAAGAATAAAATTATAAATTTATTAAAAAAATTAGAGATTTGATAAATTCTGTGTTTTCTTTAATGCAGATGAAAATGAAATAGGTTGAAATTGACTCGTGTAAATGGACCGAAGGGAGTATGAAAAAGTTTTAAACATGGCTTGGAATTTTGAAAATGACAAATCTGAAAAGCTAATGGACAACCGACAATAAATGATCGTTGCTTGGCATGTTTCTATAATTGAAGGACCTCTCTGATTCATTTGATTTGAGGATAGAGATAAACAAGCACTGAGTAACTCAAGCTCGCGCGAGGAATGTGACGTGGGAGACCTATCGAACCACCCGACGTTAATAATCAGGAGGAGGAAATCAATTCTGCTCTGCCTTTATTGATACGGATTAGACTCATCACTCACGCGCGTGCCTTTATTATTAATTTTTAAACAAATACTCTATGTAGCAAATGTTAGAAAGCAAAAACAAAAAACGTACTTACAGTGTTTCTAATTAAAATTAGTGCATGTAATTAAATTACGTAATCACGTGCCTTTGGAAGAGTCAGCAAGGGATGCTGTGGTGAGGGGGTACTAGTAGGGAGTTTTGGGGAAAGGGAATAGAAGAGAGGGGTTTGGTTGGAAAGCCAATAATCACGTAAACTTGATTATAAAACCTAAATAATTTATGTTCATACAGACAGAAGCACGCCACGTTTTGTTTCAAGTAAACACTTGATAATAAAAATGTTAAATGACATATAAATTTTTTTTTTCAATGATAACAAGTCCCTTCTTGATGTAAAATAATTAAGACGCGTGATTCTGAAGACATGCTCTGTGTATCTGTGGCGTATTGCACTCCATGTCCCTCGAGTTATCAATTTTTTTTTTCTGGAAAAAGCAAAACAATAAAAAATGGACCGGGTTTTTCGTAACCCTTCTTTTTTGGGGGGAAAGGGAAGTTTTTCGACTAGTCGTTGTTGCCACCGCGCAAGGGGGGGAAAACTTGGACGGGGACATATTACCGACAAAATAAGAAAAATTGACGGATACATCATCATCTTAAACCGAACCAAACCTAAAAATTGACAATCTTGTCATTCCTTTGATGATTTGAATACAATTTGCTCGAGAAAAAAAAAATGAATACTACCCTGGCCACACAAAAAAATATCTGAATGCTACAAAGTGTTGCCGGATTTTTGAAACATATTTTATATAAAATGATTGTGATTACTTATATAAAAAAAGATTATGATTAATATAAAACGAAACAAACCGTTACGTAGGTTTTTTTCCTTGACGATAAGTTATAACTTATAAGAAACCCACGTAATTGATTAATTTGTTCAAATCCGATCCGCCGCCCTGGACAGATAAACATGGAAGAATTGTTTTGTTTTTGGTCGATGGTTCTTTTCTTTTGGACAACGGTGCAGTCATGAATGCATGCATATGAGTTTACAATTTGTATTCTCCAACCATGTTTTGTCAATTAATCACTTGTCGTCCTCCAAAATCCTAATATATGAGTACATGCTCAAGTATAATTTATGGACAAAATTACGCATGGGTCCCAAATAAAAATGTAAATGCAGCTAAGTCTCTTGAAGTTCATTTATTATGAACAGGTTTCAAAAAAATGTGGGAGTAATTTTAAAAAAGTATGGAATTGTTCCAGTTTTTTTTTTTTACCATGTTGACCAATTCGAGATGATTGATAGACTATCATCAATATATATATATATATATATATAAATTTTGTAACTTCAATTTGATTGGTAAAAAAGAATTGACTCTCATTGATTAATAGATTTTAAATTAATGTTAATATAAAAATTTATCGTGATTTAATAATGAGATTTTATTTATTTTCATATTTTTCATACATTTTCAATCTACCTTCACGAGAACATTGAATGAGGTTTAATTTATTTTTTTTATTTTTTAAATATTTTTAATTTACTTTCATACAAGCATCAATTCAAGAACGGTCCCATTTCAAAAAAAAAAATTGACTCTCACTATTTAATAGATTTTAGATTGATGTTAATATTAAAATTTCTCTTAATTTATTAATAAAATTTAATTTATTTTTTTATTTTTCATGTATTTTCAGTCTACTTTCAAGAAAATATTGAATGAGGTTTAATTTATTTTCTTATTTTCTATGTATTTTCAATTTACATTCATAGAAGCATTGATTCAAGGACGGTCCCATTTAAAAAAATGATTCTCATTGGTTATTAGATTTTAGATTAATGTTAATATAAAAATTTCTCTTAATTCATTGTGATATTTAATTTATTTTTTTATTTTTTATGTATTTTCAATCTACTTTTACGGAAGCATTAATTAAAAAGCAGTCTCATTTTTAAATTTCTCTTATCATTAGCATTAACTCGTATAGCTATCATTCTCCATTTGCTATATTTTTCTATGCCTTTTTAATTTTTCTTATCAATGAGATCTAATTTATTTTTAATTTTTTATGTATTTTTAGTTCACTTTTACGGGAGCATTGATTCAAAAACAATCATATTTTCAAATTTTTTTAATCTTTAGCATTAACTCTATTCAATTATCATTATGCATTTGCTATACTTTTCCATAACTTTCCAATTTTCTTAATCACTGAGGTTTAATTTTTTTCTTATTTTTTTATGTATTTTCTTGATTCATTACATTCAATATCAATCAACTTTCATCAATTACCATTCATAAATATTATATGTAAAAACAAAATAAAAAGAAATAAAATTATGTTTAAGTTTGATTTGGATCATTAATTCTTATTTTATGATATTGGCCCTTCAAGCTGAGAATGTTTAACCATATATTTTGTGTTGAGAAGATAATGCGGTGACTATTTAAGTATTTTAAAGTTTAAACAGGAAAAACTTGAATGGTAAAGGTATCTTTTTAATAGTCCTCTTATTTTACACATAAAAGAAGAAGAAGAATATGAGTTAAAAAATATAAAAGAATGTAATACAATTAAAAAAAAAGATTCCTTTAGATTCTTTCTTATATTTACATTTATGAAAATACAATTTCTATCATAATTCATGAACTAATGTCTAATTTTTTGTATGTAATAAAAAATGAGAGGTCATTGAGAATTTTAAAAAAGTTTTTTTTTTGCCAATATTCTCCAAACACTTTATAAATAAGTATTTTTTTTAGACAATTTTTTTCTATAAGTTCAAGAAATAAAGACAATATGTATACAAATAAAGTGTTCAAGAGGGATAATAATTGAATGGAGGAATTCTTAAAACTTTAGCCATCTTACATGTGTTGATATCAATAATATTAATAATATTTATTTTAAATTTTTTAATTTCAATCTGCCCAAGGCACAAAAATTGTCTAGTTGATCACCAAATAAGGTTGATTCATCGCTGATCAATGTTAAATATCCGTTAAACGATCACATAATAAGTGTTGATTGGCCACCGGCAACAACAGGTTAATGCATAATAGGAGTATTTTAATTGCTTTAAAATTTAAATATTAAAATATTATTTTACAAGTCAAAGTTATTTATAAGTTGCCTTGTGTCGTTCGAGAGTCAAAATTAACAATATAATATTAGAAAAATTAACCTACAAGTCCGTATAATTTTATATAATTTTAAGTTAGGTCTTTATAATTTATTTTGTTTTAATTAAATCCTTATAATTTAATTGATCACAGATGTTAGTCCCTGATTGTTAAAATTTTAAAATTAATTTCATAATTTTTATAATTCAAACTTTATATAATTAGATTTTTGCCAAAAAAAATTTATATAATTAGATTATGTTTTCTAAATGTCTTTTATGTGTAAATAATTTTCATTCAAACTATAAGGGTTTGATCAAGACAAGATAAATTATATGGACTTAATTTAAAATTTTAAAAACTAGAAGAACTTGTTGGTTTATTTTTCCATCAATGTTTACAAGTATGCTCCCCCTTCCTAAAATATATCCTTTCATTGAAATTAATTTTGTTTGAAGTATGGTAAAATATTAAATATGAACACTATCATCTTTGATTATAAATTAAATTTAATATTTTAATTTTTACGAATCAAATGTTCATATTCACTCGAGTTGCATGTAATTTATAACGGATTGTGTATAATACTTCACAGTTGTACAGATATGAAGAATATGTGAAAAAAAAAAACGCATGATTAGCTGCAGATAATATAATTTGGACTTGTAAGTATGAAACTTTAACTTATAAATATTAAATTTAACTTATAAAAAGTAATTTAATATGAATATGGGAGAGCGTGTCTATGCGTGTCTTATTTGTCAGCATTAAATTATTAATATTTGAGTTAATAAACACATAGTTATCCAACTAGTCAGTCACTCACCACCTTCAATTAAAAGTCAAATGATCAAGGGTTAATAATATGAAATAACATAACTTTAAATTTTTACACTTTATTCATATTTTATTATAAATTTTTATATTTTTTATTTTTTAAATATCTATATTTTATTTTTTGACATTCTAGCTCTCTCCACAGGTAGTGTTATATAAATCTGGAACACAAAAAAATAAAAGTGTAAAAATTTAAAATAATGAAAAAAAGTATGGAGATCCATAAAAAAATTAGAGCAAAATGCAAGAATTTAAAGTTATATTTTTTCTAATAACATTGATAATTTTATGCACCTTTCTAATTACTGCCAAGTCACTTGAAACATTTTGATAATAAATTAAATTTGAAGACTTACTTGTATTTAATTTTGAAAAAATAATAATAAAATTCTTCTGAAATATATAAATGATAATTTAATTTTTTAAAATGTCATAATTTTTCTGAAGTCCTTAGAGATTTTTTTATCATTAATAAATTTATATAAATTATCAAATTACCCTTGTTAAAAATAAATAATTCATAAATTTTATTTAAATATTCACAATTTTTTTTCTTACATTCACAACAATGTAATAGTAAGTAAAAAATTTAACTTCGTATGTTAAATTCCTTACTTATTATTACATTACTGTAAGTGTAACAAGGATAATTTGATAATTTATATAAA